ATCTATCTATCTATCTATCTATCTATCTATCTATCTATCTATCTATCTATCTATCTGTCTGTCTGTCTGTCTGTCTGTCTGTCTGTCTGTCTGTCTGTCTGCCTGCCTGCCTGCCTGCCTGCCTGCCTGCCTGTCTGTCTGTCTGTCTGTCTGTCTGTCTGTCTGTCTGTCTGCCTGTCTGCCTGCCTGTCTGCCTGCCTGTCTGCCTGCCTGTCTGCCTGCCTGTCTGCCTGCCTGCCTGCTTGCCTGTCCGTCTGCCTGCTTGCCTGTCTGCCTGTCTGTCTGTCTGTCTGTCTGTCTGTCTGTCTGTCTGTCTGTCTGTCTGTCTGTCTGTCTGTCTGTCTGTCTGTCTGTCTGTCTGTCTGTCTGTCTGTCTGTCTGTCTGTCGGTCTGTCTGTGTAACTAATGCTCTCATTCTCTCTGTGTCTGTCTGTTCACTTATTTATGTCAAAATGTATGTCTATATAATCTGATCTGTAACAACAACAGATCTACTGTAAACGACTGTTTACGTATGTCTGTCTGTGGCGGTCTTTGTGTTTTTACAAGAATAAAAGTTTCCGCAAATCGTTTCCAACACTTCGTCGAGACTGGGTCGGCTTGTCTACAAAACCCTCCCCCACCCCAGTTATTGTTCCTTCTCTCTCTCTCTCTCTCTCTCTCTCTCTCTCTCTCTCTCTCTCTCTCTCTCTCTCTCTCTCTCTCTCTCCCTCTCTCTCTCTCTCTTTCTCTCTCTCTCTCTATATATATATATATATATATATATATATATATATATGTGTGTGTGTGTGTGTGTGTGTGTGTTTGTGTGTGTGTGTGTGTAAGTATGAATGTATGTATGTATATATCAGAGGTCTCACACTCATTATAAAGTGTCATAGTGACTGGTGAAGAATCATTACCACTTAAAACCTACATGGGCTCCTGGTTCCCATTGTTGGAAAACAAGCATTGGCCCACTGCCTCCCAACAAACATGTCGTAAGTGTCGACTAATTGGGGACATCCTTCAAAGTCAGAGTGAATCTGCCTGAGGCAAGGAGCCAAGAGTCTGCATGCAAATAAGCCTTGATGTCTGAAACAGATGTGCACGCAACACTCTGTTTCTGGAACAAGACTTAAATGAATAGATGGACGAACAGTCAGAACTTTCTGCCGGAGGTTGTAACAGGGAAGCGTGAGGAAGAAGAAAACTGTAAAGGCGGTTGCAAAGTACGTCACAAGGAACTAGAAAGGAAAACAATTTATTATACTTGGAATCAACAATAACAGCAGCATTAATGTATATATTTACTAACTGTCTAGCAACTTATACGTTTACAGTAACAGTAATTTCAGCAAACAATTATCAGCCTGGTAAATCTCATGTATTTTTGTAATCCGCGACAATATAACAAGTAAACAGAAACAGTCACAGTGATTTTCTCCTACATTAATGAAGTTTTTATAATGAAGCTGGAATTGTTTAAAATAATTTCTTTGTATATATTTATTCAGTTGGATCGGTCTCTGAAAAGCAAGTAATTTCACTAAACTGTAATTTAAACGTGTACAACGTATAAGTGAGGGGAAAAAAATAACCCAAAAGATCAAACCTGAATTTTTATAATCAAACAAAAATTAAAATTAAAATTAAAATTAAACGCACAACAACAGAAACTCGTAAAAGTAATAATCTCTGTCAGAATAAAAAAAAAAAAAAAGACATAACAGACGTTACCACTACCGACAGAGACGAAAATGGAGGACAGAGGGTAAAATTCACAAATAGCCAGAAGTGGAACCTCAAAGACGGGATTAAACTGTAAGTATTAATCGATAATATTAAACAGAATCAGCCGAAATTATGGCGTGGAAAGCTTCTTTGCGGTAATCGATTTTTCATATTAATATTGCGAAAGAATGGACAAATATTAAGTAGCGAGTTAGTACGCGAACATACATCTTTAAACATATATACCAGTATCCCTTTAAAAAAATAAAAGTAAAGATCCCTTTTTCAGGCCTTTAGGCGTATGAGGCATATAGGGCTAGACCTGTATTTTTATAGACCGATCGGCACAAGATGAGTGATGTGGTCAGCATCACACCGGGCGCCCATACTTCCCGGGACTGCACCGGTACCCACTCAAGGCTGGGTCGACCTGGCAGTCAAGGTCATTTTTGAAAAAAGTCCGGCTCCGCCAGGTAGCGAATTCTAGACCTTCCGATCCGCACGCTAGCGTCTAGCCGTTACGCCACGGCGATTCCCCAGTATCTTATGGTATATTATATATTATACGCTTTTCAGTTACCACATGAATGCATACATCAGTTGCCCAACTCATTCTCATTCTTCATATTAAAAATCGACTATAAAGAGTTTCCGATACACTCTGTCCGAGGTTTTTAGTGTGTGCTTACAGACTCATAGCTGGATGTTGTCCACCCACATGCAGTGTTTGCTTCCTCGAGCATGCTTTTTCTTCACTTGTCCTTCTCTTGCACATTTCTTAACTCTCTTCACTGTTTTCCCTCTTGCACATTTGTTAACCCTCTTCACTATTCCCCCTCTTGCACATTTCTTAAGCCCCTTAACCTTCCCCTCTCTTTCACATTTCCTTACCCTCTTCACTTTTTACCCTCTTACTAATTTTTTAAAATTTCTTCACTTTTCCCCCTCTTGCACATTTTTGAACCCTCATTAGTTTCCCCCCTTCTTGCACATTTCTTAACCCTCTTCACTTTTCACCCTCTTGCACATTTTTGAACCCTCATCACCCCCCCCCCCCCTTTTTTCTTGCACATTTCTTAACCCTCTTCACTTTTTTCCCCTCTTGCACATTTTTTAACCCTTAACTCACCCCCTCTTGCACATTTCTTAACTCTCTTAACTTTTTCCCTCTTGCTCATTATTAACCCTTTTCACTTTTCCCCCTCTTGCACATTTCTTAACCCTCTTTACTTTTCCCACTCATGCACATTTCTTAACCCTCTTCACTTTTCCCACTCATGCACATTTCTTAACCCTCTTCATTTATCCCTCTTTTGCACATTTCTTAACCCTTTTCCCTTTTCCCACTCATGCACATTTCTTAACCCTCTTCACTTTCCCATTTATGCACACTTTGAACCACAAACTGTCTCTTCATACTGCCGTCATGCCTCTTTACAATATGTTGTAACATTATTTTAATAACGCCCGTTTTTTCCCCAACCAGAATCAACAGAGAATCCATCTGCCCTAAATTAACAGTCTGCGAATTGAAAGTGCAAACAGTAGTCCAAGCACAACTCGGGGCCTTCTTCAAGATCATTCAAGTCAAGATCACTGTGACAGACATCAACGACAACGCTCCAGAGTTTACCACATCCACATACGCAACCAGAATCTCAGAAGGTGAAATCCCAGGAGTTTCCTTTCAGCTTCCAACGGCAACAGATCCAGATATGGGCTCTGGCAATTCTGTTGTTGGCTACAATTTAGTGGCAACATCGGCACCATTTTCTTTATCTGTCGACGGAAGTGCCTCATCGTTTAATGTTCGACTTCGGCTGGACGCCAGTTTGGACAGAGAATCGACTAAATTCTATAAACTGTTTGTTCTTGCTGTGGATGGTGGCAACCCCAAGCTAACTGGAACTTTGACTGTCAATGTGGATATTACTGATGTCAATGACAACAGCCCAGTTTTTCAGAATTCTGAATATATTGTCAATATTTCAGACAGTACATCGGTGGATTCGGTTGTTGCTGCTGTTAAAGCTACAGATCAAGACTCGCAAGAAAACGGGTTGGTTACCTATACAATGTCTCCCAGCCAGGATGATCCTGTAGTCTTTAGCATGTTTTACGTGAATGGATCTTCTGGAGAAGTGAGAAGCAAGGTGTCCCTGGACAGCTACGCTGGACGTACTTACAGGTAAGGTATATTTTAAACCACTCCATTATTTATCGTTAAGTAAAAGGTAAAGGTACCTTCAGACGCCAGTGGCGCTTCCAGCATTTGAGGCTAAATTCATATTTTGTTTACAGTACAGACACGTCGATGGGTGAGGTGGTCAGCATCATGCCGGCCTCCTTTACTTCCCCTGACTCTACCTGGTACACTGTTAAGGCTGGGTCATGTTTTAATTTAACATCTAATTGTATCCTAAGACTTCCGTTGACAAATTCGCTTGCCTCTGACGCTCTGAAAACTTATGTGTTACTTAATGATGGTTTGATGGTGCAGATTCTCAATTTCTGGACAGGCAGTTCTAAATTTCCGTCGCCCAGCCACCCCCAGTACCCAATGAAGATTCTACATGCTAATTTTACCAGCTGTAATATGATTACAGGCCCGCCTGAGTTCCCCCTTACATTGTTGCATATCTCCCAGAACCTCAACGCACCCTCTGCTTTTCCATCCCACCTCATTGAACCAATGAATTAGTCTTTCCGCGTGTGGATTATGTTTTGTTCTACTGCACCGCCCATTCGATGTCAGAGAGCCTTCATCACGTCTACTTTATCATAAAAGAGCTCACCCTCGCCACCCAGATGAGCGGCACCGGCTAATCTATTAGCATGTTTATTATCTGGCACACCCGAATATCTTGGACAGGTATCCATGATATGCCCCTGAAATGAGTCTTATTAAGTGATGTAAGTTAGTTTAAATTTTCCGAAGTATGCTCTGTTAGTCTCGTAACTGATTGCTTACATCAGCAGTACGCTGCAATTCTTGTGCAGGGCTGTTAGTTGTGCACATTTGATGGTTGCCTTATGTATTTAATTTGCGGGTGCAAGCTTCAGTATTTTCATGGGTCTTCTAAATTTTCCGCTAGTTTTTGAATGAGAAAGGAGACATTTTGTGTGATTTCAGCTGGAAAAGGAGCGAAGCGGTCTGAGGGCAACCCATCTGCTGTGACGTTGTACGTTGAACCTTGACTAACGACTTATATCTACCAATCCAGTGACAGTCATATTCTTGTTATTGTATCTAATCCACCATGAAAACCTCTAATTTCAATCTTTAGGCTGACAGTTGAAGCAAAGGACTCTGGGACGACTCAAAGGACAACTAAAACAGATGTCATCATTACAATACTGGACACGCATAACAGCCAGCCAGAAATCTTACTGAACGTCTTCGGTCTTGGTGGAGTAGGTTAGTCTGGACTTTGAATTGTGAATTGTTGTCTATTGTTTCGTTTACAGTTTCTGTCCTTGTTGTCTTGCTTCATGAATACTTAACTATTTTGTTTCATTTCTTTGGAAAAAAAAGAGAGGTTTGTTTCTGCGTTTCAAGAGATTTACTTGTTCTAAGGTTTCAGGAACTACTCAGCTTTTTCATCGTCATCGTCTTCTTCGTCTTTTCCTTCTTTTTCTTCTTCTTCTTCTTCTTCTTCTTCTTCTTCTTCTTCTTCTTCTTCTTCTTCTTCTTCTTCTTCTTCTTCTTCTTCTTCTTCTTCTTCTTCTTCTTCTTTTCTTCTTCTTCCTCTTCTTCTTCTTCTTCTTCTTTTTCTTCTTCTTCTTCATCCGGTATCACACAGTAGGGGTGCTCAGTCATATTTTCATTCTTTCTGTGACACGTTATGATTATAAATAGCTGAAGATTAATTATCTGACCGTTAAAATCGATTTGTGTATGTTTTGTATCTACTGCATGAGGCGCAGCTGGACAGAGAACGTTGAGCGACCGCTACCATTGAATTGTATCTGTTTTACTTGTTAATTTATTGTAAATTGACACCAAGTTAACGTGGGCGACAACAGGCATTGTTGGCATTCACCAGTTTGATATGGGTCAGGACACCACTGCATTCTCATGAGCTTTTATTTATCGAGTCTGGATCAATCTATTCTCCTTCTTGTGTGCCGCCGTGGTGTAGCCACTAGAAGCTTACCTGCGGATTGGAAGGTTGTGGGATCAGGTCCTGGGGGAGCCGGATGTTTGTCAAAAATGACCTTGGCCCTCAGGTCGACCCAGTCATAAATGGGTACCAGGTAATGTCCTGGGAAGTAAACGCAGTCGGCATGATGCTGACCACATCACGCACGGGGTGCTGATTGTTCTATACAGTATCGGTCTAGACCTATATGCCCAATAGGCATGTAGGCGTGGAAAAGGGTCGATTACTTTACTTTTTTTTTCTTCTCGGTTTTTGATGCTTCTGTCAAAAAACATCAGGGAACTAGAAGTTTTCAAGTCTTCATGATGCACTCCAACTTTTTCCATGTATCATACAGCTACTTGAATAAGGTCAGACTGGAATCCCTAACTGTTATCATTGTGTATCCTCTATCTCCAGCGAAAGTGTCCGAGTTGGCAGAGCTGGGTCGAGTGGTTGCTCACGTGGCTGTATCGGATCCTGATTCCAGCCATAGTCCAAACGGTCAGATCTTGTGTTTTCTGAACAGCACCAGTTATTTCCAGCTGCAAGCCATGGACGTGAAGCAGTTCAAGGTCATACTGACCAAACGTCTGGACAGAGAACAGCAGACATATCACAGGTAAAGCATTAGTGGGGTTAATGTTTGTGCGCGCACATACTTGTATGTGTGTGTATGTGTGTGTGATCTTAGTGTCATAAGCTGGAACTTTATTTTCGCATAGATTCTGAATCGAACTCAAGACCTGTGAGTCTGCAGGCTAGCGTCAAGCCACTACGCTGCAACTGTTCCCAAGCTTATACTTCTTTCTACTTCTGCTTATAGTTCATGCCATGTGGTGGTGGTAGTCATGTGTATCCACAACTTTCTGTCTCGTGTTCTTTCAGTCACTTCTGACACAGATGATCTTTCATGCCATGATTTCACACTGTCCATCTTCTTCTTTCTCATTCTCTCTCTCTCTCTCTCTCTCTCTCTCTCTCTCTCTCTCTCTCTCTCTCTCTCTCTCTCTCTCTCTCTCTCTCTCTCTCTCTTGAGTCATGATGACTCCAGTTGTCTCTTTCTCGTGACATGACCAGATATGTAGATTGTCGTTTTCTGATGTGGGCAATCATTTCTCTTCGTGAGTCAGTTTCTTTCAAGATATCTTCAATGCCCTTTTTTTAAATCTGCTCGCCTACAAATCCACATCTCAGCCGGTTCCAAATAATGTGTCACTAATCGTCCAAACGCCCATGATTAATTTCTGTTAAACAGGAAAAAAATTTGTATAGCTCTTGTGAATTCTCTTTTTCGTCTCTGTTGACAAAGAGAGTTTCTTTTTGTGTATAAAGTGTTTCTTCATCATTATTCTCATTTAAGCTGGTCACAAGCCGACAACAACAAATCAGAGGAAACAATCGTCTCTACTGTTACCAAACTTTCGCACAGTAGTCCAAAAGAAATGGGAAATAGGGTGGGAGGGGGAAATTACTTTAAAAGTGGGATACATTACTTTGCATGTGGTCTATAAAGTCGTATTTGTTGCCTTCTGCTATCCTTCATTTGGAAAATTGTTTTCACACCTTTTTAAGAAGAAGAAGCATTTATCGTATTTAAAACTTCTAGGTCATCAACTGTAGTAATTAGAATAAATTTTTTTTCCTTAACTGATAATTAATCACAGAAATTGCTTCTGCCACTGTGTGTCCAACGTGCCATTAGGAGAACAATCGACGAGTTTTAAGAACCTATTTCCCGCTTGACTTCTTGGCCTCTTCTGGTTATAATCAGACCGAAACATTCTCGTCTTATCGGTATTTACGTTTACGCTGAACACACAAACACAGAAAATGTCCACAGCTTTCTGTAAGACATAACAGGTGTTTCCATTTTAGAATAAAGCTGGCTTTCTATCGTTTTTACTTAAACATTGTTAGTGATTTTTATTTACAAATGGGTGTGGAAAGTTGTGAGCTCTTTCGCTGTGACATACTGCCAAGCATTTCAGGTTTTAGTTTCCTACTGCGATAACCTCAGGAATGCCGCCACAGCATTTTCCCTTTTTTTAACCAGTGCGGTCTTCTTTAAACTGTTTTATTTCCTGAGATTCGCTGTTAAGGCTAGAGCTTGCCTGAGGTCCAGAGAGTCCTGGGTTCGAATCTTCTTCAAAGTATTTTTTTTTTTAAATTAATAATAATAAATAATTGGTTTGGGACTCTCGGTTTCTTCTTTTTTTTTTTTCTTCATCTTTTTTAGTCCTGCTGTGTCGTTCGGCGTCAGCTTTTGAAGAGGCATCAGATGCGAGCCTTAGTGTGTGCTACGTTAGTGCTGGTATTTACGGCCTCGGATATTCCATCTATCGGAGCCTTCCTGGTCCACTAGACCTCTAGCTTTACTTTCATTATGTCTAAGTGACAACGTACTCTGTGGTGCACAGTCTGGTCGTAGTCTTCACACATGTCCAAACCATTTGATTTGTTTTGTCTTTTGGCGTAGTTTAGTACTGGTTCCGCCCCAGCTTCTTTCCTGATATCGACATTTGTTATCCTGTCTTTTCTATCTCAGATTCACCCAGCCTAAAATGGGTACGGGGAAGTGTCTACGAAGTAAAAGCGGCTGGCGATGTGTAAATCAGTGCCCCTTTATTGCAGATTGGTCTATAAAAATAGGGATCTGAATATCATACACACAACGCCATACGCCAAAGAAAAAGCGCATGGGCATTTACAGCACGCTCAGCGGGCAGAACAGTCAAAGAAGCCAACGGCGCCTTCTCCATGACAACCAGCAGCATGACGATGGAGCTGATGGCAGTGACGCAAGCATTTGCCTGGCTTGAAACACAAAAATACACCCGTGTATGTATACTCAGTGATTCAATGAGTATGATCCAGAGGGTTCAGGCAGGTTCAGTGCGAAGACAATGGCTTGAATCATTACAGAAGTCCACTGTGCGTGGAGTCACCTTTATTTTTGTTCAGGGACACGCAGGCGTCGATGGAAATGAAATAGCTGACAGGTTGGCTGGATCCGCTATCACTACCGACGGTCAGCCTATGGATCATGCTGATATTATCAATGCCCTCAGAGAAATGGGAAGGATAGAGGACTTTGGTGGCAGTGAATCCACATCACTCGCCAGAATGGCAGACTTGGGAATTAAGATCGGCACAGCAAAAAACGAGACGCACACCAGACACGCCAGAAGACTTGTTAATCAACATAGAACTGGTACTATTAGCCATCGGACGTTGGGGTTCATACTGAGGGGAGGATCTGAGCACCTATGGACATGTCCGGAGTGCAATGAGGATAACCCAACTAACTAACTAACTAACTAACTAACTAACTAACTAACTAACTAACTAACTAACTAACTAACTAACTAACTAACTAACTAACTAACTAACTAACTAACTAACTAACTAACTAACTAACTAACTAACTAACTAGCTAACTAACACACAACGCCCCAGTGATGTACAAACTTACTCTTACTGTTAACTCTTAATTAATGTATTCTTTCAACCCAGAGCATGGATATGGCAATCATATTTTCTTTATGTGAATTTTCAAGAGAAACGGGCGGCAATGAAGTTATTTTTGTTGCGTCTAACATAGCACCTGTGCGTTGAAAATAGACATGATCCGTCACGCTGATAAAGAAGACTTGATTGGGTTCTAAGGAGATTGCTACTTCACCAGTCCGGGAATAATGTTGGCAATATAAATGTAAACGTGGGCTATGAAGAGAAAGCCACCTCACCAATAGAGATATAACAACGAAAACCAAAACTATAAGGTATTGGGAGAAATTGCCACATTCCATCTGAGGTATTGTATCTTGCAACAAAAATATAGAGATGGGTTTTGAAAAGATTGCCACCTATTTATTCGACAAATAATACTTTCAACATAAGCATAAAAAATGGCCTACGGGGAGATTGCCATCTCTCCGTGAGAAATGTACTTTTGATAACATAAACAATGAGACTGATTGTGAAAAGATTGCCACCTCATCATTCGACAAACAATAATTTTAGCAAAAACACAGCAGATGGTTGAGGGAAGAATATTCCCTCACCATCTGAGATGTTATACTGGCAACACAAAAATTGAGACTAGTTGTTGAGAGATTTGTCCTTCGGCCTTAGCATCCCAGACACAGCATCTGTAATTTAAACGTCTGATTTGTTCACAATAAAAGATTGAGTATTGAAACATATACATCTGTGAACAGTGGCATAGCAAAAAATGGACCTCGGGGGGGGGGGGGGGGGGGGGGGGGGGGGGAGGGGGGTGGTGTGGTGTCGTGACAAAATATAATTTTTTAAAAACTGTTTCAGTACCGGACTGTATTACATTGAATTGTCTGTCTGAGACTTGTGTTATTTAAAAGTAACAATAGTTGTGTCCAAAGGAGTGGAACTAATAACAATACAAAAAATAGTCAGTGAATGTAATATTTGAAAACTTAAGGGGAATTCATGTGACAAGGTGGTCAGTCACGAGCAGTTACGAAGTGTCTGCAGTGTAATGAGCATCATTGGATACATGATGTGTTCATTGGTACTGAAGGGGGAGTTCGGCATCATTTTCTTGCTGACTGTGCTCCGTCACTGTGTATGAATTGCTGACTTCGCGAGACAGTTTTGTAACCTTAACACAAATAGTTAGTTATGTAAATTTACTCTTGGTTCAGTCTATTAAACTACATTCCTCATTCCCACAGCGTCACAGTGATATGTGACGACTCCGGTTCACCGCCACTCAACGCCTCCTCGACATTTATCATAGAAGTGGAGGATGAAAACGACAACGCGCCCATTTTTGACTCGTTCTACTACTCGGCTGACGTCGTGGAGGGACCGAGCATGGACAGAGATGGCGACAGGTAAGCTACCACTATAGTCCCTACCCACATAGATTTTAGCTTTGGTTTATATAAGGAATCAACATTATGGCACAAGAGTAGTAACCCATAAGTGCTCCGTTCTACCTCTAACTCAGGCATGAGTCCAAAGAATCTCAGTGCAGTGCACGAACTCTGTAGCACCGGCGAAGATCCTGAAAATACTTCAGTTAGATTTTTGACTCCAATTTTGCCCGGGCAGCCCTGTTGGCTATTCTTCTTGATTTCCAACTGCCAAGGGATTTTTTTTTTACGTGCGCAACAGTACACACGGGCGTCCGATCTTACTGCCCGGACACCAGGGGAAATTATTAAAAGTACATGTGAAAAATCCCAGCCTTCGCCGGGGCTTAAACTCGGGACCTCCAGCACTCGAGGCGAAGACCATGCCCTGAGACCACTTAGCCCTCCACATAGAACTGCACGTTACACCTGCTGGTGTAACCGTTTCAGTAATAATAACTTCTCTGAAGATTGAACCGGGTCTGTGGGATCTACCTTGTTAGTCTGACATCCAGACTGAGATTCTTTCGTGTCAAGATTGTAGAGTAAACCTTTAGGTAGGCGTCCGGAGGGGACAAACTTATGGATGGAACCACAGTAGTTACAGGCTTGACTTTATGTTCGTGAATGTTACTTTTGATATTGCATACCATTTGTAGATTCACGTCGGTTAACGATAATCTTAAGATAGGGAAAAAGGGGGGGGGTGGGGGCTTACACTTGCTTGTCTGTTATATCGTAGGGGAGCTGGAAACCCGAGGGCTTAGACCCTTTGAGCCTGACCCCTCACAGAAAAATTGTAACTAGGTTTAAGCGCCTACACTCCCACCCCGTAGACAATTTGTAATGGATCTAAGGGGCTTCCTAACCATGTATTATTCTTTTTAAAATGTGCGCTTGTACATTTCCCAACACTTCAAATAATATACTATTTAAAATATTTTACTTATTTTTGCCATTTTGATTATTATTATTATTATTATTATTATTATTATTATTATTATTATTATTATTATTATTATTATTATTATTATTATTATTATTATTATTATTATTATTATTATTAGACATTTAAGCTACATTTACGCTCCCTGAGCGACACTCCTCCCGAGAAGGTATAAAGAGAAGAGTCATTTACTACGAGTATGTTACTGGAAATTAACGTGAAATGAACAAATCTGAGTAAACCCATTCCTATATTATGAGTGTAATGTTACAAACCTTTGGGTAGTTGGGTGTGGTCGTGCTAATTTTCAGTCTGTAAGGACTAGAGAAGTTTGCTGTTTTTGTTCTCTCTCATATTGATTACTTTTTTGGATCGTTTTATTTTGTTACTCTAGTATTATGGCTATCATAAATTTTTTTTATGTCATAGCTGCTTGCCGAATTAACCATTCGTCTTTGGTGTTTCCACAGAGATATTGCTCTGACTGTTCAGGCAACCGATAAAGACATGGGTAAAAACTCTCAAATCACCTACAGTTTTGCAGATGGTTCTGATCCTGATTTTGGCATATACGCAGACGGATCAATAGTTGTTACCAATCCTGCAGGAGTCGACCGCGAGGACAGGGTCAAGGGGTCAGTGAGAAGACTGACAGTACAAGCCATCGACAACGGTAAAGTACCACTGACCGGCACGACGACTGTGGTCATCACAATCAGAGACATCAACGATAACCCACCCAAGTTTTCAGAGCCTATGTATTTCTTTAGTGTCCACGAGAACGCAGCTGTTGATTACATTGTCAACAATGTTTCAGCCAGCGATGTGGATCTTGAAAGCAATGCCATATTTTACTTCGAGATGCACAAGAGGGATGTGAACACGGTTCCTTTTCAAATCACACGAGGTGGAGTAATTAAAGTCAGCGGAAGCGTGGACAGGGAAGCCAAAGCAAGTTATGAGTTTCGGGTTATAGCCATCGATCTGGGAGAACCGGCTCGTATGTCATCAACTGTAACGGTTCATATCAGAGCAACAGATGTTAATGATAACTCCCCTGAGTTCGTGTTTCCGAGTGATGATAACTATACCCTTTATGTTCCTCATACACTCGGCGAGAACACGGCGTTTGCCAGCGTCGTGGCTATTGACCGAGACGAAGGTCGAAACAGTGAACTCGTCTATGCGAGAGACAGTGGAAACGGTTCTAAATTCTTTGATATCGAAACTAGCTCGGGTCAAGTAGTTCTGATCAGACCATTAACAATTAAAGACATTGGTCTGCATATTATTGTAGTTGTTGCTCACGATCGTGGTGTTGAAGTCCAGCTGACTACCCAGTCGGTCATGCATATTAAAGTATACGAAGGCAACGCAACGCTTCCATTTACCAATGATGGTCTTGGCTTCAGAAACATTGTAGTGGTGGTTGTTCTTGTGGTTGTGACCGTTGTCTTAGCTCTGGCAATTCTTCTAACCATCCTTTTAATTCGCCGGGTAGATAAGCAGAGACGGTTGTACCACGCTAAATCTGTAGAAGTCAAAACGGAGCCGAACTTCAGAAATTTACACCCGTGCTCTATAGCTGAACTCGAATCGCCTTCTCATCTTTCTGACATGCAGGACGATAGTAAGGATGGAGGGAAGAAGAAGAAAGAAGTGAGCTTTTCTCTGGATGAAGACAACAACGTCAACGGCCCACAAATCATGACCACGTTTAGTCCTATTGCCTCTGACAAATACGACGCCATCTCTGAGAAAGACAGAGGGAAGATCAAGGTAAGTTTCTAGTTTTGGTAAATAACTCTTCTGGCGTCAGGGGTTTATGTTGAATATTTTGCTAGACCAATTAGTGCTGGACTGGCGAAGTTGTATGTATTACATCTGTCGCATTTACTTCCCATAATATTCTCTGGTATTCGTATAATGTTCCGCCAACCTAGAAAACCATTATCAATATCACTTTATTATAGTACTGTTAAACTGGGCGCGCAGTCTAGTCTTTTATTATGTTGTATCCTTGCTACCCTATCGATATTATGGATGCAATCGATGGATGTACACCTTTAAGCTTTGTTTAAGTGTGCAGTAAGTATTACTGATTGCATTGTTAGCTAGTTTTAAAATGAGACCGAGGAGAACATGTTGTGTGTTGTCCACTAGTGATCTACGTTCAACTCACTAGGACTCACTACAAGGGACTAACACCCGGTGACACAAAGTCCCACCATTCGGATGAGAAACCCTGTTCAACCGATAGGTTATAGTAGACCTCCCAACGACAGCCGCGATGGGAGCCATTGAAATATAAAAAACTTGCGTCCTTTATCGGGACGAGTATTGTATCCACTAGCACAGAAACGGATCAGTTATAGGGGCAGCCCGTCTGTAATAGTGTTGGAACGTCGATCATTATTATTATTATTACTTTTATTAATATTCTTATTATTATTTTTATTATGTGCTGAATTGGAAATAAATATAACAATATATATGAAATAATATGAACTGTTTAAACAAATGCTGAAAAACAAAACGCCTATACATTGCTGGAGGGAACCACTTAGCTCTCTTGCAAATTGTCTAGGGGGTAGTGAGTGTAGGGGTGGAGGCTCCCCCCCCCCCCTCCTTTCCCATTACCACCCTCTTCGCCACTCCAAAAATTGGCAAATGAGGCTTTGAAGTGCGTTAGCCTTCGTTTTCAAACCCCTTGGAGTCATGCTGTCTATGTGCAGCGTCCAAAACTCTGGCACTGCTGACATTGTTTCATCGGGTTCTTTGTTATTCCTCCCTTGATCCTTTCTTCAGTTTACTTCCTACACGATTGCACTCACTGCTGATTTCCGATCTTCTTAAAGATTGCTGGCTGTGTATACTGTATGTTGAAATCTGAAATGGCAATGCTTCTGTTATACTGCTGTTATATCTTTCTGGACTAGTAATTGTGTTTGTATCTGATGGTTCATTCTTGTCCTTGTCACTGAATAGCATTGCTTTTATCTCAACGTGCAGACGATGTGATCTGTTGCTTTTGCCATGTAATCATCATAACATATATAATACATGTGTTTGTAATGTGTGTGTGTTTGTGTGCATGTATGTAGCTATTTCACAAATAATGGCCTGTCTTGTCTCGGCTGTTTCACGGAAGCCAAATTTAAAAAAATATAAAAAGGGTTTTAGCTAAGAAACCGGAATTCATCTACGTTGTTCTTTGGCAAAGAGCACAGGAAATCACGTACCATTGCTCTTCAGTGAAAAACACAGGAAGCAAGTTGCATTCGTTGTTCTTCAGGCAAGAACACGAAAAGTCTCGTACACTGTTCTTTAGCCAGGTTTTTTCTGTAACCAAGAACACGAAAGGCCACGTACATTGTTCTTTAACCACAAAATGAGGAAGTCATGTACATTTTCTTCCGGAAAGAACACTAGATGTCACGTAGGTTGTTCTTTAGCGAATATTTTTTTTAACAAAGAACACAGGAAGTCACGTATGAGACACTTTGTGATACTACACTTGTCTACTGATGAGTGAAAATTTAGTAATGGTCTCTCTGTCACCCTAGGTGCGGCTGGGGCATATGATGAGGGACTCATATTTTTCTAGACCATCAGCACTAGTTGGCTTATAAGATAAATATAACGCGGGCTGCCTTTACTTCCCATGACATTATGTTTCCTGTGTGGGTTCCACGACCCCATTCTGGGAGAGAAAGAAAGAACAGACCCACCGCCCCATTCTGGGAGAGAAAGAAAGAACAGACCCACCGCCCCATTCTGGGAGAGAAAGAAAGAACAGACCCACCGCCCCATTCTGGGAGAGAAAGAAAGAACAGACCCACCGCCCCATTCTGGGAGAGAAAGAAAGAACAGACCCACCGCCCCATTCTGGGAGAGAAAGAAAGAACAGACCCACCGCCCCATTCTGGGAGAGAAAGAAAGAACAGACCCTCCGCCCCATTCTGGGAGAGAAAGAAAGAACAGACCCTCCGCCCCATTCTGGGAGAGAAAGAAAGAACAGACCCACCGCCCCATTCTGGGAGAGAAAGAAAGAACAGACCCACCGCCCCATTCTGTGAGAAAAAGAAAGAACAGACCCACGGCCCCATTCTTGGAGAGAAAGAAAGAACAGATCCACCGCCCCATTCTGGGAGAGAAAGAAAGAACATACCCACCGCCCCATTCTGGGAGAGAAAGAAAGAACAGACCCACCGCCCCATTCTGGAAGAAAAAGAAAGAA